TGAGGTTACATTTTCTAGAGTACCAAGAGATCTCAAAATGCAGAAAAGAGTTGAAAATTTAATGTAAGACGTTTACGAGCTTCTACGATTTTTCGTTGCGAAGATTTTATAGGGACTCTCGTCACGGGATCCTGCCGGGACTCTCGCGGGACATTTTTCAATTTTGTTTAGATTTTTTGAAATTTTACTGGGACTCCCGCGGGCCCCCGCCGAGACCCCGTGACGGGAGTCCCATGGGACTCTCGCAGGATTTTTTTTCCGGGACTCCCGCGGGACTTTGGCCGGGAGTCTCGACTAGGGAAGACTAACGAACTATCTTAGTGGGAGAAGAATTTTTACCAGTAATAGGAGATAACAACAACAAAACAAAAGAGCAAATGAGGTCTGTTCCGTGAGTCACGTTTCTCACGTTTCGTAAAGCAACTACAGACGTTTTATCGCATCAGAATCATGCGTAGCAATTTACACGGCAAAAATACCAACAATGTGTGACAAAGTCACCTATGCTGGAAGCAATCAGACATGTGCACCGATAAAAAATGTTCGGTAGCGAAGCTTAAATTTTGCTCGATCGGCAGCGCCTCATCCCATAAATTTTTTTTTGCTGGCCGCGGTACCATATTCCATAATATTTTCCACCTTCAGCGCAAACTTTTACACTCACCGACGTGAGAAAGAAAAATCTCGAAACCGAGGGTTAAATTTGTTTTCTTCAAAGAGCTACTATTTGTTTTAAAAAATTACCTCAACCAAGAAATGCTACTTGCCACAGTTTTTTTCAAGTACTGAATGCAAAAGTTTCATCGTATATGAGAAAAAATATAGACATTCTGTCAATGGAAAAGAAAGTAAAAAAGAGTTCCCTAGTCTTTTATAAGTATGGATTAATTGTTATGAACTGAATTTTATCTGCTTTATCGCTCCCAATCCTGTACAACTTACTGTGAATAAGTCACATTGTACTGAACACATTCACAGAAAGATGCTGACGTGGCTAGATTGTTGCTACTTTCACAGTTGTTTTAGCGGGCGCTATCTGTCGTAGCGTATATGGAATAGGATTTTAATTAGGTTAAGATCTACATTGCTTAGCCAAAACCCATTCAATCTTGTGTCAATCGATAACGGCTATAGAAGCAACGGAAAATATGAATATGGCAACCCGCAAAACACATGCTGCTCGAGGTTTTTTTTCGCACATCTGTTAATGTAATTCTCTAATAAGTAACTGGTATTCCTTTGATGTCTAAAGAAGTAAATCTTCCACTTAAAGTGAATTGCCCTACATCACAATTGGGAGGAATAAGAGCACGGATAAATTGTCATCATTGATCGCTCGAGAATATTGTCGATCAAAATAGGCAAAATACTCAGTTATGAAAATAACTAATTCTAGGTAGGACAAAGAAAGCGAGTAAATATTTTCTGTTGTTGAACTCTACTGCTTTATTTCAATCCGATTGGTCTTTGTTGTTTACTTTTATCCTACATCATCTAGAACACTTTTCTGTTTCTCGGTGCATCGCAAAATATGCAGATACTTCTTTTCTATTCGTTTCTCTTTTCTCCCACGCACAACATTAATTCTGTTCTCTTTCTCAGGTTGCTATTAGATTAGTACATTTATGTGTATGTGTAGGCGGGTGTGTATGTGTTTTATACGCAATACCTAATATTTTTTTTCTCTCTTTTCTTTAACAACGTTTGTGCTGTGTTGCATTATGCGTATGTTGTTAGATGAAGAAGACTGTACGTGTGGTTGTTGATGTGTACAACAAACAATATGACCAAAGCTGAAGAAGTGATTTACAGCTCACTCACACTGTAAAATTTCGTTTCGTTTTTTATACATATAGTTTGTAGAATCGCGAATTGGTAAGTAGCTGCGGAATCTGGAAAGTGATTTGCATTAATCTGCTACATCATTCGCATGTGGTGCAGAGATCTTGAATAAACGTGTACCAACTGAACTGCACTTGAAAAAGACGGTACTTTTACGAACATTTGGAAGTTGTTCTTAAAAAGCTGGTTTAGTACGTCAGAACGAAGTCGGAGCACATCAGACGAAGAACTTGGCTGAAGTTAAGGCTGACTTTCATCTTCCAAGGCCTACGATCTGGAAGAACAAGCTTTTGCTCGTGTTCTGAACTGAATTATTCTACTCTCGCTGCAGGCGTACAATCGCTGTTATTTTTATTTTAGTATAAAGGACATCATCATGCTCTCTTGTCTATAATCTAAAAAGAAGTACCGGGGTTGGAAAACAACTAGGGGAGTATCGGCAGAACGAAAGATATTTCGGAGAAGCTGCAAAAGGTTTTGTGTTATTTGCTAGTAACGTTGTTCTTTAGCGAAGTGAACTGTTAGTTTATTGCACGACTGTATCTGATGCACTGTAAAAAAATAAGTGTTCCAGGCAGCGTTATTGATTAGGGGGTGGAATTCCACCCCTCGTTTGGATAAAGTTACTCAAAAAGTGTTGACTTACCCAGAAATTTTTGAGAAATTGGCTGTTATGCACCTCAGTAAGTGATTTTCTCTAGCTTCTGAGTAACTCATTTATTTGTTGAGCAACTGGTATAGAAAAAATAAAATAAATTGTTTCATTTTTTTCATATTACTGATGAATCTTGTTTTGAGATAAAATATAATGAAGAAACATCAGCCTTCAATTAACTTAAAGCATACAGTTACTCAGAAAAAAACTTTTAATCAAAAAATGTGTTTCTCAAGAAAAAACTTTAGCTACTGAGCCGGCTCTCTATCCCACCCCCCATCCACCCCCAGGCACTTTGAAACGTGTCCTGGGACACTTGTTTGTTTTACAGTGTGGAGTCTGCCGTTGCGTTGTATCGCTACTATCTCGTTGTTCGTTCAAATTTCAGCTGATACTACCTCCGCTTAGTATTAAATAGCGCGCGATGCGCTTTCTCCGAGGTTGATCTAGAAGAATGAACTTCTGGCACCATGTTATTATCTTTCTTTTATATACTCACGCACAAACCTGGCCCTGAGATTTAGGAAGGTTTAAAATATACAACTAGAAAACTAGAAATAGAGGGTATGTATAGTCTCTATCTCTATGGGTCTGCTATAAGATTGCTCTGTTTTGAAAATCGGACAGAGCTTCCACTTTTCTCATTCTTTTGGCATTCCCAAGTACTTATTAAAAAATCATTACATCACACACTTTAAACCTCTATCGTAAATGGGTGCCTCATTAGTATGTTAGAGTTGAAACCAGGCCGATCTGTTGTCGGTCTAGAAAAATTTTCAAAGCCGCCGGTGTCGACCGGTCTTTTGCCGTTTTTAGAATTTTTAGCATTTTTCTCGTCTTTATTCAAAGGAAACTTGATAAGACAACTAAGAGAGATAAGAAAAGCTAGTGAAGACCACCTTTTTCGATCTAGAAATTTTTGAAAACGGACCGCTTTTCACCGGTCTAAAAAGATTTTGGAGCCGTCCGGTTCAGTCTGCTGTTTTGAACCGGTCGGCCCGATCCGGTCTCTAGTTTTAGACCGATTGGAACTCTGTAGTATGTACGCTAGTGAAAAACCTATTTGGTAAACTTTTATTCTGTTAGAAAAACACAGGGGGTTATATGAAAGTCTTGGAGACCTTTAAGCAAAATTAGCTTTTTGAAATGGGTTTTTCTTTCTTGGGTTATTAGCAGCATTAGCGAGATACTTGTGATTAGTAAGTATTCCGAGAACGTCAGCACGAATTTAGAAAAGGAAAATCATTTTCGAAAATTTCGCGTTTGAGAGTATCTCCAAGTAGTCCATTCAATTAATTGTGTTCCAGCGCAACAAAGCAATATGAAATAAAGAGTCTTCACGCACTTACTATCCATATCCCGTTAGGATCTTAATAAATTCCTAGCAGAATCTTTGAAGTTAGGATTCTACTAAGACTTCACTAAGATTTGGTATTTTAATAGAATCGTAGCAAATCCTACGACTTTCGAGTATCCCTGGTTTCATTAGAATTTAATAGGCTTTTGTTTTGGATTGGAAAAGCTCTCAGCAAAATCCTAGTGTGATTATGTCTAGGATGCTGACAGAAAATCCGTAGGTCTCGTACTATGATATTTTCAGGTTTATCTGTCATTAGTTTTTAAAAATTTCAACAATAACTATCATTATTATAAGTGCGAGCGATACAAGCATTTATCTTTTCTCTCCAATCCTATTCTATCGACTGTTAGACCGTCGTTCCTTATTTAGTATACACTAGAACTGATCGAAAGAAGTCTGAATCTTAATAGTCTTCCAATAATTTGTTATTACATGAAAAAAATGGTTGACTTCAACTCGATGGGAGATGTTTTTCCACCGATCGATCTTGAATATTTTTCTGAGAGGCATCAGAAGAAACTAACAGTACATCGAGAGAATTTCGATTTACTTTCTGCTACTTGTCTGGTTAAAATTTTCTTTCTAAAACTTAACCAGAATTGAAGGAGAAAAAATATTGGCACCGGTGTCGCTCGTAGTAGTTTACAGGCTTTTCGATGTATTAGAAAAAGGGTTACAATTAGTGTCCGCTATTTTTCCTTCGAATAATCGCGACTGTTAACATATTTTCAGCTTGAAAGCGGTCGTGGTACGACTCTTCCGCGAACTGGAATCCTATTGGAAATACTTCTGTTTCTGTATAATACAAAAGCTTCCGTAACATATGTCGACGACATGATACGTAGTTTGAGGAAGCGTCTGTGAATTAACGTCGTTAAAATACAAAAGTAATCGATGAAGCTGGAGTCAGGAATTACTATTAATACTTTTTCATGTCCCAGGAAGTTTTTTACTAAAATAGCTAACTAGAAATATCAAAATTAATTCTATTGGAAAAAGAGCATATCCTTGTTTGAACTATTCATTTCTTCTCTATTGTTTGTTGTTACCATAACCTACTCTGTATTTTCAGATACTACAGGCATAACGATTTTTCTTATTTATTCATATTATTGTTTATTATTGCACAAGCTTTCCTGAAAAATGATATTGTCTTGTGCTGAAGCAGGTAGTCATATTTGCAACTCATTATGGTGTATGCCGTCATTGCTCAGTTGTGATATAACAAAAGTATTCACAGATGATAATAACAACAACATTAAACACGCTTTGGTAGAGAGTGATGTCGAAGATGAAGACAAAATTTCGAATTTGATGTGGTCACTCGGTCTTAAACCGAAACAAAGACAACAACAATCAGTCACACTACAAACAACATCACTCATTCCAGTAACAGTACCCATTTCTCCATTCAGACATCGTAATAAAAAAAAAGCCTTGAATGGTATGAGTGTAGCAAACCCTCTATGCCTGTTAAGCTTAAAAAAATATGATGTTCGAGAACCAATTCAATATGTTGTAACAGACTTAAAATACATATCTGTTGTAAGACATTACGATGACTATTGCGCCACAGACAGTCCGAAAATATCGAATAGAAAAATAAAAAGACGATCAAAGCAGAAAACAAAGAAACACATTTATTTCCTACAACGTCGAGGTATTGTAAGACAAATACATAAAAAAGGTAATGAAATGACTTATATACAGGGAAAATATATTGTTTGTTAGATGATTAACGATCACATATGAGTTTTAAGAACAGCGATTAACCATCTTGAGTATTGTAAGAAATAGTTTGTGGTTGATCCTCAGATGGAAATTGATTGTAGTGATAGTTGAGATTAATGATCAGCTCTCCGCTGGAAACATGTCTGCAATATATAAAACATTTCCAACTATTTTCTACAGAAAGATGTCCTTAGAAAACTCTATGAAACACGAAATATTTTCCTTTGTTTAGAAAATGGATTGAGGAAACGACTGCGAACTCAACCAGTTTTAGAAAATATTACGTTTAAAAACTGTGAAGTTGTTTTACACAGATTAAAACGACAGTATATTGAAGATATAATGAAAGCTCAACAGGTAAATTCAACATTTAGAGCGTTAAATAATAAGAACTTGAACTGTATAACGAGATTACACTAGAATAAATTCATGCTTCGATCAGTCGAAATAAAAATTTGGAAAAAATAAAAAAGTGGCTGTCCGAATTTTGCATATGTATAATCGAAGAGATTATGTACGGTTTTTATAATTAAGGAGCAGAATAAATCAAAATCAATAGAAATTCAACAAAAAATAACATCAACAATGATGATAGAAAACAAATCTTGCTCAAGAAGAAAGAAAAAGAATTTTCCAAAACGAGTACCATCGCCTCCGAATGAAATCCAATCACAAGTATTACCTGTTATATCATCTCATTTACCTACAGCATCTAAACGACGGGGATGTGACGTAAGAGAATTAACTAATTTGAGTTCAGCAAAAAGTCAAAAAATGATCCGCACCGAACAAAATGATTGTATTATTGAAGATACCATGAAAGATCGGCCGTCACAATTATCAAAATTCGATTATATCTTTATAAAATGTTTTGTTTGTGGTATTAGAAACGTTCTTTCGTTTGAACGTTTATTGCATAATTTCAATATACATCGGTTACTGCATAATAGTTCAAATTTGACACTACATATCTACGATACAATTATTGATAACACACAATTTAGAATGGTTGACTATTTCATACCTTCCAAACGACATGAAATGGAAGATACACCACTGAACATTTTTATTAATAAGGGTCAAAAACTAAACCAAAATCAGAAACAGCAAACTCAAGATATATCAGTCGTTATTATAAGCGACGATGAAGATGATGATATTATTTGTCTCGATTAAAAGATGTATGGTCAAATCATACATGGTCATTTCTGCGAAGAATGAGCGATAATTTGTTGTCGGCAAAGGTAGGGTGCGTCTATAAAAAAAGAATCGTCGTTTTAGCCATAAAAAATACTACCGAAGGTAAGGTAAAAGAAAAGTTTTTTTCGACAATTTTTTTGTTCACCGACTTTTTGCTGTATCTCTGTAAGACTTTTTTCGCTGGAGCGTAAAATATCAAAAGTCTTGTGCATAAATATATGGATAAAGATGCACTTCTCTTTCTCAAACTGCAATACGTACGCAGTTATGTTTCATAACGGCTTGTCCAGCTAATTCCGCTACGGGAGTGTAATTCCTTCACGGTTTTTTACATTTTGTTTCTCCTATGATTTCCGACAGTAATCTAAAAACTTCGGTTTTCAAATTCAATCAAATTCACTTAGAAAAAATACGTTAGAATTAGTTTTCGAGACAATTAAATTGGAAAAAAGTTGCAATATATATCGAAAATGAAACTACTTCTTCACTTTTCGTAGAGGCATGTTGGTATAGAAAAGAAGCAATCTAGATTGTATAGTTGGGACTATTTCTTTTCCTTTGTATACGGCTAGAGAGAAAAAATTGTGGTTCATATAAGAAATGGGACCAACAAAAAAATGGCTCACAAATGTTTTATTACCAGATACGGATCGGGTTTAGATCAAAGCTGGTATCATTCAATTAGCGAGTTGTTGGTGTTGTCGTTAGTATTTTCAGCTTGGGATGTACAATCATGCACTTGTTCGCAGCCTATCCTTATAAGTCGGTAGACAACTCTTTCTTGTACTTTTGTTGATGCTTCAACGTACATATGCAACGTCGCTTTTTACACAACTTACATAGGCAACAAACAAAGCATGAAAACATTTCTCGTTTTTCGCAAAGTAAAACATACGTGTTACAAGAGAAACTAAAATTTCGTTATGAGAGTAACATAAATTTCTGTCTTTCTTAGAAATCATCTCCCTCGAAAAAAACACTCTAAGACTGTTTAGAATGACACCACACTATTTATCATCGAAAATATAAAATGACACATCTCCGTAAACGAAACCGATAAAATCAAATAATATAAAATCAATTTTTTCAATCATGATATTTTGTCTCACGTTGAGCGTCACTGGTCATCATGGGAACAGTTCTTCAGCGCGTAATCATTGCACTCGAACTCAGCGTCGAACCGAGAATCGAACTCAGCATCGTGCGACACGTTCGACCACGAGTGTCTTTAAAGCAAAATACCTATTTTTCTCAGCAGAACTGTCTTAGAATAATTTGTTTTTTTCTACGATGGCTACACCTATTTCACACTTTTATAATATTCCGCATGTACCACAGCAAAACCCTGGATTCGCGATTGTACCTGCACGTTGGTGCAGACAACATCGTCTCTTTGCTAACATACTCCTCACATATCTCTATGTATGTGTTATGAATGCTACCGGTAGCTTTGTTGAATTGACTCAGTGTCGAAAATCAGCCACGTTACATTTAGCTAAGTTCAATAATTCAAACTTATGAAATTATGGGAGTGTAACTGATTTTGTTTTACACAAGTGTTATGCGGCAATATCGTTGGGAGACAGCACCGAGCGCAATTTACGTAGTCACATTTTACATGTTGGACTTGTTCTGTCAAATTGGACTATTCTCAAATCAACCTGATCTACAACCCTGTATTGTTGCTTTAGTCAGAATACACTGGCGAAGAGTTGGTAATGGTAATGCAAGTTTTCGATATCAGTATGAAGCCACGAGCAATGTCCGAAAGTGAATGTGTTCACCATTCTAAGAAGACAGCAAACTAGACAAAATTTTGTATATAATACAACAACAGATACTCCTGGCCTTTAATATTTGTGGTTTTGGCAAAATCTGCATTAAAATCTATAATCCAGATCCTTACTCAGATCGAACAGATCAAAATCCAACGCAACGTCGACGATTTTTATTAAATCTGATTCCACGAGTCTCTAATCTAACTCTGGCTGAACTCCATTCAAACTATTGGTTTTTCCTTATAAGTCAGTTTAAAACTCCTAGAGTCAATCATGAAATTCAGTTTCAACTTCCGTCTGAGAAATGTTAAATGGATCTCACTTCGATACAAGAGCCTCAGCTGCAGCAATCCCTTCGCAGGAATTGCGCAACACTGCGGACCATCGTATTGACTTGCCTATGCTTTGACACTCAAAATTCACCTCAACTTTAGTCCAAATGACAGAAGTGATATTGGGTTACTATGCATTCGACGTCATTCCCCTACCAGAAAGCAGTTCACTTGCTATCGCATTGGTGATGACAGACAAAGAGAAACTGCTGTGTAACTTGACGAAAATATCGATATCTACAAACACCCTCCAAAAAAAGATGCTTTAGACATCCTGGTGTTTCGTGAAATTTTATAATAAATCCAAAAATGTTCATTAGTCGTTTTTCCAATTCAGGAAGTTTTGTCGAAAGTTACTAAACTCTAGAGTAAGGACAGAGGACTTTTTATAGTAAAAAGAGTATTTCATATACTAATAAATACAAGTTACGTTTGTCATACCAATGCACTAGTCCCTTGACTATCCAGTCTTTTAGCAGGAAACCCTGCACGTTCTGCTTATAACAAGTATGAGACAGCTAATTGTTTGATACCTTATCTATAGAGAGTATCATTGTGCAATTACTCATTTGTAAAACCGAGTAATTCCATAAAGTTGTTCGAATGAAATCCAGATATCATCAACTGCCGTTAAATACTAACGATATTGACGTCCAGCAATAACAATAAATAACACGCAAATAACAAAAGAAAACCATACGAGACAATGGAGTCTAGAATCGGTACTAACAAGAGAATATAATTCGAAGAACCAAGTCATGAAAAAAATGACATCGCCCGGAATCTACCGTCGTGAAAAATGTGCCGTAGTACAGAAATGTGACAGACATCATAGACCATAAGACCCCTAACTTGCAATCAGGAGAAAAATAAGATATAGTTAAGAAGTTCTTTTGAATAATTAATTTCTATTTTGTCATCAGAAAATAAATTAAGCATGCATATTTTGACTATGAAGCTAACCTCATCAGCAAATTACGATGTTTTGAACAAATAAACTATGTCGATAATTACTTTGATCTGTGTTTTGAGACACTTTCGGATGATGAAATTTAGTATGTCCCTAACGAAAAACTATTGTATACCTTTTTATTTTATAATAATATGTAGGGGCATGGCAGAGCAGGGGATGGTCCTACCAAAAATATTTTTCGTTCTTCCGAAAAAATGCTTTTTTTAAGAAGGAAAGACACAAAATAATGGCTTTTCTCGAATCAGGGGGTTGATAACCACCCCTAGTATTTACGCCTCTATTAATAGCTAATTTTTTTCAGGTAACTTCATCTTTTTTATTCAAAAAACAAAAATAACAAAAAGATAACGTTTCTGAGTCTGCTAAACGTTTATCACAAAAATAGAAATAGAAAAAGTATTTTCTTTTTTCGGTAAGTCTTTCAAGTTTACTGTCATTGAAACTACTATCACTTTGATTAAGTTTTTGCTTCTTAGCTGTGCATTGTTCATGCTCGTCATTTTCATCTGACTGTTTTCGCTTATCAGTATTTTTATCCATCGATGAGACCGATCTGATTTGTGAACATCTGCAATTTACATAATATCTGGATCTTCACATATTCAGATATCTTCCTCTTTTCTTTCACGGTGGTGAATATCAAGAAGTGCCTCACTCTCATCTTCCCTTGCCGCCCCCACCTTCCCTTTTCCCCATTTCTATAACATCTGAATATCTAAATATCTAACTTGAATATCAGAATATCTGAACATCCAGATATACATCTAGATATATTATGTAAATTGTAGATGTTCACAAATCAGATCCTACTGCCATCGATAATCTTGTATCGAACCATTTTAACAAAGACATTTTTTTTCTTACGAAGCATTAATTTGTTAATTTTTTCTGTTCCTAATCGTGTTCGACGATCAGTAATTGTGCTTTTCAAAGAAGAAAATAGGTGCTTGACCTCGGTGTTTAAGGCTGGAATGGCGAGTATTTCACGAGCCAATGAACATTTAGTTGGAAATTCGTGGTAGAGATTTACCAATGCAGAAATAGAAGAGGGCACTACTTTACTAAAAACTTTTTCGGGTCGAGCGGGTTTGAGGCGGACTTTGGTTGGAAAAATCGGGATCTCGTCCCAAATCCGAACCCGCACGGAACTTTTTCGAGATCAGATTCGAAATCAAAAATGTCGGACCCGCAGGACTCTACAGTCCATTTTCAGTCCGCTAGAGGCTAAGTGTCAGAGGTGCAACCGGTAGCGGTATGACTTATAACGCCGACCGGTATACCGACATTGGCATGGAGTATAATCAACCGGTCGATATTGCTGGTACTTTGTGGTATGATACGATTTTTCGAAAAACATCGTGAAATTCAGTTCATCTGTGATGACATAAGGATCCATTAGCGCTGAATCGAGTTTTTATACGGAGGATTTTAAGCAAAATCCAGTAGTACATTAGAATAAGGGATATTTAAAACGTTGGGAAGCAAAGTTTCATTCAATTCAAATTCAGTTTTGAAATGGCGCTATTTTCTACGTGTGTTTTTGAAGGCAAATGTAATCCATAGTTTCTACGTTTGAGCTTTTTCGACGAATGAGAATTGAGCAAAAGAAGCCGAATGAATCGAAAAGCATGTTCGTTTATTTCTAATTAAAATTCATTTTTTTGTACTAATTCGTGCAAATTTAAAGCTGAAATCAAGCTAATTAGGATCTAGGCGCCAAATTGTACGGAACTGCTTTAAAGCGCCGTGTTTTAGCCCGGTAGTTAAAATATTTCTTATGAATTTTGATCACCATTTTCAAAATGTCTTAAAATATGAGCCATTGACTAGTTGTTCATATGGAGGAAAACACATGGTAATAAAGAAAATTTCCGACAAAAATTGATATCAACCGTGCTCCAGTGTTTCTAACAGAATTTATCCGCTGAGCCTGTTTTTCCAACCAAACCGTATGCGTACGTAAAGTGTACAGTATACGCTCTGCTTTTCTCAGCGAAGCGTAAAACGGAGCATATTTTTAAATTTCGAACCGTATGTTTGATACGTGAGTACAGTTTGCTGTTGGAAACACTGTCCTGCGCCACACCGCGCTAGTGTTTCGAAATTTTTTAAATGTTTTCTTAATCAGAATTTTATCGGATACCTTTTGAAATAAGTCCTGAAGTTCGCAGAAACACTCGCTTTAATGCCAGTAGGAGGTCCATCCAACTGCCCACACCAGTTCAGTGTTTCGATAATTCCTCTATAAGGGCATGATCTTGTAGAGATTATTTATAGCTCATTCTGGAGCCCGGGAAGTTCTCTATCTTTCTATGTATGAATTTTGATGAAGAACTTTGCAATATTAGGCAAAATTTGAGAAACAAAGTGAATGACCTTTTTGAAATGGTGACGAAACTTGATAAGAAATTTGGACGAAAATTCGACTTTAAAACTTATGAATAAAAACAAAGATGAAGGTCATTATCATCTCTTTTAGAGAATCAGTTCTTGGTTGGAGAACTCCAACTTTACTTTCCTTGTCATGAATTGTAAAAGCCTTTTTTTACGAATGTAGCTCGTACAAAGGTATGAATATTTATGAATAATTTTTCACTTTCTGTATTGTGTACCCTGTGGACAAAATAAAAAAGAAATCAGCATAGGTGAAGTATCTCTAGTTTAGTCATAACTTTTTGTTGGATTTTACTTCCTATTACAGATCATGTAAGTTGGAAAACTCCAACATACTTATATTCCTATAAATACATGAATGCATAGACTCATTTCCATTTGAAAATTTTCAAAAACGCAAAACCCATACCTGATACAAATTAAACTCATAATTTATACGATAGGTAATATATATTAATTTAATTTCATGATTAGCTATTGTAAATTAAAATAACAATGTAAAGTTCAAACGTCGAATTTGACAGAAGAGAAACATTTTAGAGCTACTTCTTATTTTTTAGGGTTTTTTCTCTCAAGTAACTTTACAAAAGAATGTTCCTTCAAATTTCTTTTGTCAATTTTAGCAAATCTAACTGTTTAACAATGGGGGAAACACAATCGACAGGAGCTAGCGGTTCATATACATATTCACAATCGAAAAAAACCTTTTGTAATGATAATACTCGTGAGTGTAAACCGGCCTACAGTGGTTACAAAGGCGAAACAGATCAAACCAAAAGGGGTTTAGGTCCAATACCAAAAGGTTCATATACAATAGAAAATAGTTGTAAAAATGACCGTGAACGTTGCAATTTAAAACCAGATACCACTAATAACATGTATGGGCGTGACAGATTTCAAATACATGGTGATAATGGCAAAAATGATCAATCGGCTAGTCAGGGATGTATTATTGTGGACAAAAATGGAAGAAGAGAACTGAACAAAGGTGATCGAGTGTACGTTACTGACTGATCAACTCGACGATAATTTTGACATTAAGTACTTAAATTTTCTCAAAGTTAGTTTCAATTCTCAAAAAAAAATTAAATTAATTAAAAATAAATTCTCAAAATTAGTTTCATTCAAAAGATCATAAAAAGTTGTCTATATTCTATGAATTTCACACTTCAATCTCGTTTCGTTTCAGTGCTTTCTTCCACTAAAATTTCATTTCAATTACTTAAACTTAGTTCGGTTATATAAACTTCTTAATTTAATAATTTTAAAAACGTTCATTTCGATTTTCTTGCCAAACGCGTTTTCTAAATCGGAAAAAAGAAACTATCAAGTAAAACATCACCGTTCTATCTTCATAAAATCTATGATTCAGACATCGAATTTCGCTGAATTTGGCAGAATGTAGTCAGTTTTCGGGTGTTTTAAGCCTTAAAATAGCTTTAAATTTTTTCTTTCATTTTCTAGTGGTTCTTCTCTCGGTTCATTCAAGAGAGTGGAAGAGCCCATTAGCTAGGACGTGTACAACATATCTGTTGAACAGTGTGAGCGATGGCTCACACCGTTAAGAATTTGACTTTCTCATTTCTGTATGTCGTTTTCTGTATGTCGTATTTAAAGTGCTCTTGTCGTGAAACAAAACGGTGAATATATTAAGCGCACAGAACAGAAAGAAAAAAAAATAAAGGATCCGTCAATTTCCAATCACCGGAAATTAACAGATCCGACTGGTTTCGGATATCGAATCCGATCTCCGGATCCTCCAGGAACAAAATATCGGAATAAGAAGGAATTGAGCAGATTCGGATCTCGAGATCCGGTCGGACGTCCGATCTTCGGAAATCACCGGAATTAAAAGGATCCGATCGAGCGACTTCGACCTGGGTAATTCAGCGTGCTTCCTTTCTGAAACTTCTTGGCGTTACATTGACGCATGATTTATCGCGGAAATGTCATATTGACAATGTAGCCTCAAATTGTCAAAAAATGCTTGGTTCTATTTCCCGTGATTCACCTAATTCTCTTCGCCTTTATCTTTATAAAACGTGCATACGTCCAACTTTGAAGCACTGCTGCATTCTATATGATACGTCTTACATTTCTCATCTCTGTGTGTTAGATAACGTACAAAAGTTGGCCTGTAAAATAATCCTTAGCGATTATGACAGTTGTTCGTCGCAACTTCTCACTCGCCTAAATTTAGCACCGCTACAGGCCAACTTTTGTACGTTATCTAACACAGAGAGATGAGAAATGTAAGACGTATCATATAGAATGCAGCAGTGCTTCAAAGTTGGA